TTTGAATGTACTGTAAAGCTAAACTACGTGATTTAAGCCCAAACCGGTGTACAGCTCAGCATCTACACTCATGTCTACCCCAGTATCTACAACAGGCTGCTGCTGTCAGGTACAAGGAGAGAGTTGCAGGGCTGTTAGAAAGATGTATGGAAGAATATGCTCCCCCCACCCCCCGCATCTGAAATAATAAAGCACTTCAGTCGAGTCGCTCACCTTCCAGCATTAGTTGTGATGAATACAAAACAACATGACTTCTGTGTGCATGTGTGTTTGCGTGCGTGTATGCTGGGCCTCGTCTGTTAAATGGTCTTTCAATGAGTCCTTGAGCTACCTGCCAAAACCAGAGCCAGCAATATAGAAGTTGTAAAACGTACCAGTGTGGGACTGTGTGCATCACTGTGTGTATGTGTGTGTGTCTCCACCACAAAGTCAGCCAAGATACTAACAGTGCCTTTATTTCCAGGCTTGGTCTGCTGCCATGTGCCCACTATGAAAGCCTTACTGAGAGGACAGATCAGTAAATGAAGTCGCATAAAAGAAAGAGAGGCTAACGGAGGAGGAAACCAATTTTATTTGTTCAATTTAAAGATTTGTCTCAATTTCATGTGACAAAGTGTAAAAGATCAGCATGCAAACCTATAAAATTGAATAATTAGATGCACTGGTTATGAACCGTCAATAAATTGATTCTGAAACTTTTGAAAGTTTAAATCCTCTAACTTCACTGAGGCCTCTTGCATCTCTTTTTGTATTTCTTACACAAGTAGAAATAAGTAATATGACCTCAGAATTATATAGCAATATCTCAAGGAAATTGGTGATAGCAATGTTAATAATCTAGCAAAATAACAAAGGGGACATTCTATTTGTGAATACAGACTGCAGGAATTAGCATCTATTAAACAAATGAGGTACAATTTATGACCTAGTGTGCATGAGGACTGTGCAAATTCACTACAAAGGCTCTGAAACAGAGACCTTACAGTGTAATAACAGTATAGGTTGAATGAAAGTACTAAAAGTACTCAATATAACCTTACTTTACTGTGTTTGAAATGATAAAGGATCTAACAAACTCAGGGATTGTCAGGATGTCATGTCATTTAATTTCCCTCTGGGATTAATAAAAGTATTTTTGAATTTTGAATTGAATTTTGAATTGAATGTACAGCAAAACTGCTGGCATAGTCCTACAGAACCTCATTGACCTACACAAGGCGAGGTTAGTTGGCAAGGCCAGGCCGATTCTGGCAGATCCTGATCACCCACTCCATGGTGAGTTCAGGTTGTTTCCATCATGATGCAGGTATCTGCTACCAAGATGTAGGGCGAACAGACTGAAAAACTCATTCATCCCTGTAGCGATCAAGTTTCTCAATGAGCAGTGATGATTCCATGT